ACTTTAGGGTATAAGTTTTTATACTTCTTCAACACTTACCTGACTATGCAGCTGTGGAAAAGATCGTATTTGACTTTTGCATATCATGTCATGGAGTTTTATAAGTAATTTCCTGTGCTTATTGCTTTATTTTGTTATTTTTATTTTGCAGTTCTTGCCGTGATACCATCAATTGTGTTATATATTCACATGATGGATTCTTCCATGACCTCGCAAATGATCGTGATTTGTTGCGCGTATTTGCTTCTGATGAATTCCTTCAGCATGGTGGTGTTGTTTTTGTATCGTCAAAAAGATTTGCAATATGCTGCAATTCAATGCTTCAAATTCCTATTCTACAGACAAAATCAACGTGTCCAACCAATCGCAATGGTTGGTTTTGATGATTGAACAAAACCATTTTAAAAGAATTACATTGTACGATTGTGTACGTTCATTGGCAATTCCTTAATGAAAACTATTTTAAAAAATTTTGGAAAAAGTTTTTCTGAATTTATAGGTTATGCAACATCAATTGAAAACAGTTTCGGTATCCTTCTCAAAATTATAAAATTACTGAATTTCAGTTATCATTTCCTTGTTAAATTTTTAGGATTTGCTTTCAGAGCGGTAGATAGTAGGTGCTGAAAAGATTATCCAACATTCCTATATTTCCACATATCACTATACTTTAATATATTGCATCAAATAAAACTAAATAGCTGTTCGAAAAATGACTCAAATAACTCTCTTGTTCACTCTATCACTCTCTTGTTTATCTGCAAGAATGCATACTATACGTGCAAACAGACAATTTCCACTCAGAAAAACAATCCTTGCATAATGCGCAAAACAACAGCATAATCTTCAAAAATTAATTCAGTTATTTATTTATTTTTTTGACAGCAATAAAAGTAATAGGCTTTAGCTGATTTTTAAGATATTACGTGTATTTCTTTAAAAAACTAATTTAAAACAAATCAAATATTAATGATGCAGAAATACCAATTTTACTAGTGTGGCAATATCAAGGCAGTTCCATAAGCTATTGAAGTAATTTGATCATTTCTTGTTTCCCGACTACAGAATCTTTCAAAAATGTCATATTACAAAAGTCGAAAATTTTTTTTTAAAAAAAAGAATTACAAATGTTTGATAATGAAACTACCATGCAATACCAATTCGTAAACAATCCTATCATTTACTGATATAAACTAATAAACAAAATAAAATATAGTATAAACAAACAGCATGGCGATACGAAACCAAAGCATCCGTTAACTGTCATTAACTGTCATTTTTTTACGCCGTTCAGGGCAAGTGGTCAACAAGCGGTCATAAGGATCAACAAAGGTCAAATTTAAATATGAACAGAATTCTAATCATATCATTATTATTTTCAGTAAACTCGATTCGCATTCGTATAACCGCGATTTGTCACATTTTATCGATAATAAAAAGTGACACACTCTGATGTCACTGATCTTTTCTCTTACATTTTGTAGATTTCTATGAGAAGGGCTAAATTTTTTCAGTGATAACGGAATAATGCTATATCACGAGATTTTACATGGAAAATTTTCCTTACATAATAAATTTCTTCAATGTAATAAATTTGTTCGCATAATGTTAAGGCAATCTTTTGCGTGCTGCATGGCTATTTTATGCACAAAAATGCCAGGTTTAACCGGTCATTGTTAATGATTTTTGAAGATGAAGAAATTATGAAACTTTCCTGATTGATGGAATTATTTTTTGAGTTAATTGCATTCTGTTTCAATAATGATTTCTTCATTTGTTTGCAATTTTCTATTCAAAAAAGACCGTTCTTTTTGTGACCATTATTTTTCAAAATTGCATATCATAGCTTTGATTGAAATTTTGAATGCCTTACTTGAATGTTAGGAGGAAATCAAATTTAATATCATATATAATATTCTGATAGTAAAATGCTTCAGAAATATCGATTTATAAAAGATCATTGGCACAGATAAATTAAATATATTTAAAGCGATAAATATTCTCATTTATCGAAACAGTAATGTTCATTTTTCAATAATTTTAACTGATATTGTCAGTTGTCATTGTTATAATTTCTGATGCATAATTTCAGGAATGTAACTTTTGCAAATATTACGTTTATAATTTTTTAATGATGGCATTTAATGTCATCAAAACTTGGGTTAAATTAAGAAATTTGCGGGAAATTATTCATTCGGTGTTAGTCCTATTCTCTTTGTTCAAGTTTTTTTTTTACGAGACATTTTTGCAAACTTTTTTTTGACATTTTCAAACAATTTTGCTTTTAATTTCAGCTGATAATTTTTTTTGTAGAGAAAAGTCCAAAGTCAAAAAAAATGAAAGGGTCATATGGGTACAATTCTGAAGATAGCCTCAACAATGATTTAATAGCTGATCTAACTATCATTCGCAGATTTATCAAATGAAATTAAATATCAAATCAATAGTTTTCGCTCATTATTTGATTTCAGTACAAAAATGACAAGGCTTCGAGATATTTTTTTAGAAAATTCAAAACAGATATTAGAGAAACAAAAGCAAATGTTAAGAAAAGACAAAACTTTGTGATTTTAGATAAAGAATTTATACATGAAAAAATGTTCACTATGTTTGCATGAGATGCTGCGCGAAAAAAAACTGCTTTAAAAATGCAGTAAGAAAAATGGCAGGTTCATATAAAATGATTTCTCCTTTATTTCTTTCATTATAAGACTGCTAGCATTAGGTTGGGAGTGGTGTTTCGCTCGCCTTAAGAATTTGATAAATTTATGCTGAAAGAAAATCAAAAAAAAAAAATCATCGTTCTGAGATGTCATCTTGACTTAAGTGGATTGCTCGACTAGTAGAGATCATATCAATTTAAAAAATCTTCAAATGTCAGAAACTTAAATAATTATTTCTCTTCGAACTAAAAATATTTTTATTTGTTGCTATATGAAAGCTACATACAATCTATGTAATTTTTTCATTACTTCAAATTATGTTCAAAATCCGTTCCATCGAATACTTTGCTATTTCCTTGAAAATGCCTCTTCATTGCATAGCTATAATCTACTTCATCATCATCATCATCATCATCATCATCAAATTCTTGATGTTCACTAAATCTTGACCCATTTTTTCCATCATTGATGAAATTAGGCAGTTTTAGCTCATCACGAATGACGTCTTGTATTTCTTTGCTCACGTAATGATTTAATTCGATACCTGGTTCATGTTCTTTCAATTGCTCTATCAACGAGTAAGCCTAAAAACTAATAAAAATTTTAAATATTTTACAAGGATGAATCTGGAGAATACAAAAGAAATTTCACAAACTATTCAAGTTACTAAATTAAAAATAAAACGGATAGATGTCTAGATTTCTTGCAATTTAAAGTATGAACTTTTCTGTAGTTTTTCTTGTGAACATTGTGTACAATTATCACAGCGTAGATGTCACCAAGTCGTATATTCTTACAAGCTTGCTTATCACCTGCCAATGCTTCTAACTGTTGAATTGTATCAACTGGATCCAATTCGTAAGTACTGAAAATATAAATTTTGAATTTTCCACTATGATAAATCTAAAAGCAAACATCTAAGCTTAAATTTTTATTTAAGTTTTGAAAAATTTTTAATCTTTACGTTTTAATTTGAATGAATTCTCTAATATCTCCAATAGCTTTATATAATTCCGCTTGTTTTTCCGTTAAATATTCTTCATTTTTAGGATTTTTTTGTAATGCTTTTGTAATACAACGTGATGCTTCATTAAGTGCATCGATCGCTTTATTATAATCATGGTAATCATCAATTTCAACCTGAAATGAAACTAACTCATTTCTTATTCATTATTGTAAACCATCAAAATTTTAAAATATCATACCACTCTTTATTTATTGTTTTTATTGGCGAATTTTTCAATTTACAAATAGGTGTAATTAAGAAAGTTAAATGTTTCACCAAATTTCTCAACTTTCGATACTACAAGAAATTGCATATTCTAATGCAATCCCTTTAATATTCTCAATATGTTCTTATCTTCAACATACTTAGTTTCTGAACAGTGCAATTTCAAATTCTCTCTATTTTCCGGTCTATTGTAAGAAAACTTTCTATTCTTTTCTTCCGTAAATTTTCGAAAAGATTTATGATTTGATTTAAATAATTATGTATGTTTCTTAAGATACAGTAGTTCAAACTAAGTTTGAGAAGTAAATAAACAAATAAGTACCTGCGCACAAGCTTCATAGAAGCTCGACAAATGTTCGTGTGCATTAGCTTTATTATAAAATGACTCAATTTGTTTTATCAGATCGCCATCCTCCTTCCAATTCAACGTTTGCAAATAATTAGCTGCTAGAATATAAATTTCTTTATTTCTTGCTGCTGTCGCAAAAAATATAATCCTTCCAGTGTCACCTGATTTGATTAATGATCGCATAGCCTAAAACATGGTGAAATAACTTGTTTCGATCTTTATTCATTAATTTTTTTTAGCAATACTTAAATTTGTATAGATAAATTTCTCAGTTCTCAATATTTAACAACTTTAATCATACTCTGTCAAATAACAAATACGTATTATACCTTAAAAGCTCTACTCATTATGTTATGTTAATATAATAACGATTATTGCAATTTTATTAATTTTGAAATGAAAAAAAACTGACATCCAACTTATTTCCAGCTTGAGTGTACTTTTTCGCTGCAAAATGATAATTCCGTTGTTGTATACAGCATTCGGCTATTGATTCCAGAAGTTTTATTCGATCAGCTTCACTCGATACTTCTCCTGAATTATTAATAGCTTCAAAAAAAATTGCAATAAATTCTTCTAGTTCAGCTATTATAATCTTCTTCAAAATAACAATTTACTTCGAAATTTTAAAGTCATTATAAATTTTATTCTCTAAATTGGTCGATATTTTAGTCAAATTTTCTCTGATAGCTTAAAACTTCATTTAAATAATTAAACTAATTAAAAATTCATTCATTCACAACTGATTCGAACTTCATCAAAACAAACCTAACGTTAGATTTAAATTTATTTAAATAATTGTTACCTTTCGAAGGTGTTAATACTTCCGCTAATGTCTCGTTCATTGGAACATTTCTCTGTTTGCATAAATCAATTGCTTCTGAGTACTATAAACTTCCTTTTTTAATATTTGCTCATAATCGGCACTGATTTGTTAATTTGTAAATGTACCTTTTTTGAATAAGCTAAAAGTTGGACAGCTTTATTATATTGTTGATTAGTTTTAAAAAATTCCGCCGCTCGTTCAAGAATTCGTGGATCCGAATTTTCATCTAGTTCATTGGTGATCAAATCTAATGCACTAAATTGCTCCGTACGAAATGCCAGATCAAGAGCCCGACCAATCATACCGGCCTAAAAAAACAATAAAGTTGTTTTTTCATTTTTTATTTCTTTCCATTTTTTGTTTGCATATAAAGTTTTGCATTTTTTAATTTCTTCTATATTTTGAATTTAGCAAGCATTATAATAATGAAAAAAATTAAAATATAATACAATCAAACCGAACTATCGGTCGTCCGCAAAATTTTGAAGATAAAAATTTTTTTAAATTTAGTTTTCAAACATTATTTGTTTAAGTTCAGCTGACCTTATGATATAACATAACAGCTTTATCAGCTTGTCCTGGTATATTTTCATAGTATTGTGCTGCTTCAACCAATTCATTTCCACCAGCCATTAAAGCCAAATTGACAATTTCATCTTTCATATTGTTCTCCTGCACAATATTACATGAAAATAAGTTTAGATTTAATTTGAATGAAAATTAATCTTTTAATAGTAAAAATTTTATGTAAAAAATGATAAAAAATAGTTGAAATATTGCAATCACATATGCTAGTTTCAATTTATTCCACTTTTTACTTCACTTCATTCACAGTTTTATATAATAATTTATAACATACTTTAGCAAGACGTAATGCGTTTCTGCATGCATGTGCTTTTGTGAAGAATGCGACCGCCTTATTTATGTCGCCATGCGCTTCAAAATATTGTCCTAAATGATAGCAAGATGCCTTATCACCACTACTATTCGCTATTTCAACTGCCTGTAAGTAATCAATGATATATACTGAGTAAACTCAATTATGAAAAATTATCAGAAATTTCAGTAAATCAATTCCAATAATTCATTTAAATGAATTTTGATGATTTTTGAGCTAAAATGAATTCTTCTTGTAATGTATCTGAAATTCTTAGATTTTCCTTTTTCATCTATTTTTTTTTGCAACTGCTTATCACTATGAAATTCTGAAATTTAACTTGTAATTTTAATGCGAATTTATATTTCTGATTTAAATCTAATAGAAAAAAGTTTAGCCAAAAAAACTTCCTACATTACTTACTTCATCTATGTTACTGCTATGACAGAGCAAACGAACAACCGATAAATAATCTTTGGCGTATTGATAATATAAGCGTGCTGCTTTAATATCACCTTTGCTTTCCATATATTGAGCCCACCATTTTTGTATGCCCCTGTAGCATTAATATTCGTTTAATCAGTTGTTATACTGGTAACAGCAATAGTGATAATGACAAGTGATAAAAAACATTTTCATAATTAATCATTGAGTCTAGTTAAAATCATTCCCATAACGAATCAATTGAAAGAAGGTTGAAATAATTAATTTTTGCCTCATTTTTTGTAAGATATCAATTCGCGCATAATTATGTAAACTTACGAATCTTTTGTTTTCTTCACATATGCTTCAAGTATTTTGGGATGATCAAATAGCATCCGTGGTACTTCGAAACGATGAGTGCCTGATTTCTCGTAGCTAAAACGTTACTTTCTGAATTACAATTTTCAAAGTTAATGTATATTACGTAAACGCAATAGCAATTCCACAGCTTGAAATTTGAAGAACCAACTTTTCAATTGCATTATCAATTGAATTAAGCGATTCGAGATAATTTGCGTAATTGTAGTATGTGTTTCGTAAGTGTATTCGATCGTATTTTTCAGCAATTTTAAAAGCCTGAAATTGCGGAAATTTCATTGGTTTAACTTAAATTTAAAGTGAAATTTAAAGATGAATATCGCATAGCTTCTTTTCAAATTCACTTCAACAAACTTCATCCCAACGATTTCGTGTTTGCAAAAGGCGATTGACCAAATCATATCGACCACAGCTTGCAAAAAGTGCTTGTGCATCGTCCTAAAATTTCCTTTTATTAACAAGTAGTTTTAAAACTTTCTTGTAAGAATTTTAAGGGAATGATAGTATACATACATATCGTTTCTCACACTGTTAGTCTTTAAACTTACTAGCAAGCCTAGTTGAATAGCCAATGTAGCCACTTGAACTTCAAGAGGATCACCATTTTGCATTGATTTTCTTAAAGCTCGTGCACCGCATGCATTTCCCATATTTCCGAGACATACCAAAGCCACATCAAGACGTCGCGTTTTGACGCACATATGCGCCATATGTTCCCAGGCATTTTCACTGGAATAAAGCATATAATGCTCTAATTAGAATAAATTAGTAAGCAACGAAATTATGTAAATTTGATAGTAAAAGAAATTATAATATTTGAATGCTAAAAAATTCTAACCTTTTAATGAATTTGATAGCCTTAAATGCTTCATCCATTTTACCAACTGTCATATAATATGAAAAATTCATCATTGCCTGTAATATACACATTTTAAACTATTCAATTTAATTACAATTAAAATGATAGCCTTACTTTCGATAGAAATTTTAAATTTTTAATGCAATCAGAAACCAACACATGAAAATATATGATGATAAAATAACTAATGATATACATCTCTAGTTGCTGTATCAGAATTCTCAAGTCCAATAAATTCTCTAAGAACTTGACGTAGTAACAAGTTTCCAATATTCATTTCATTACTTCGATCTTCGTTTTCACCATTATCCTTGAACAATGTTTGAAATTATTTGATCAACAAAGATTTCATGTGAAACTTTAGAATTGATAAAAGAATGAAATTGCTATTTACGAAAGCATAAAACAGAAGCTGACCTTGCGAACAAAATAAATATATGGTACTGTGCAACCGAGTAGAATCTCGGCATTTTGAGCTTGTAATTGTAGATCTTGCATATGCAAGCCATCTTCCGATGTTACAAATATTGATAACAAGTAATTTGGTCCCTAAAAAAAAATTGAAAATTACACTTTGTTAAATAAAAATATTTGTGGGAATTCTTAAGCTTAAATGTTTTATCATAAAATGAAAGTAAATGAAATAGTACTCAAAAGTTTCAAAGAAATCAGTAAAAATAAATCATGTTATATTTTTAGTCAAGTTCCATTACCTTTCTATCATGTGACTAAATAGAAAGGTAATGGAAAAGTTTGCCAAATAATGGATAAAAATGAAACAGTCAATCAAATAATGAACAAAAACGAAACATATGATAGTCGACATCAATATTCAATCTCATGTATCACTGTTAACGCAGATTTTATGATCGCAATATAATTGATTGTTTTAAAAAAATTTCTCCAAAATAAAACTTTCACAGCGCAAAAATTGCATACAGAATTTGATTTATGATGATTTGCTTCACATATCAAATAACGCGAATCATTACTGCTCCAACAATGAAAACCAGGTATGTAATCCGGAAGACGATATCGTAATTGTTTCTTTTCAATCTCACTGCAAAATTAAGTAAAACTATGAGTTGAAAAATTCAGCTTCACATCGAAAATAGTTGTTCATATTTAATTCTAAATATTATTAGTTTAAAATATATACCGCGTAAAAGAAGTATTTGGTCGATTGATTGCAGTAAGTGTAGCATTATTATTTGCTTCATGTTGTTGCTGATCGGTCATACCAGTAGTAAAATTGAAATATGAAACAATATCTGAATCAGCATCCCAGACCATAATACCTGGATAAACCTTAAAAATATAAATCTTGAATTTTTCAAAATTTTGATTTAAAATTTTAATATTTAATCGTATTAATTAGTCATAATAAACAATGCTCATTATCATGTCATTTCTGTAAAAATGATAAATTCCTTAAGGTTTCAGAAAGACAACTTTCACTAACATCAATATTTTTGCATCCTTTCAGTTGAACCTTATTTTAAACTTTATTTTAATTTTCACTTATTCTATCTTATCGTCCCAAATAATTGTTCTGATATTTCAATATGCTTACATTTGGACATTCCAATTTTGAATTCAATCTTCAAATTTATTTGGTAGACAAATAGTACGATAAAAAGACTGATATACTAGTAATTAATTCATACATTTTTGTTATCATCAGTGCAATATGTGAAGCTAACGCGATTGCCCAATTTGTTAAGTTTAACATGTAAAAAATGTTTGAAGTTTTGAACTGCTTCAGGAATATATTTGGAATGATATTGCTGACGTGCTTCTCTGTAACAAATGAATTACTGAACTTAAACAAAAAAAAAAAACTGTTTACTGTTGAAATCAATTGGAATGATATTAATACAATTAAACAGAAAGATTGGTTTTTACAATTTCATACCTTGCAGATATATCATAAATGCGTATAAATCCATTAATACTAGCAACACACAACCAGGAATTATTAATATCGATTATTACGGGATTACCTTCTTTTTCTGGCAACGATATTACTTGCTTTACAGTACCCTAAAATTTCAGGATATGGTATTTTTAGGATTCATTAAATCTATAATAACAATATTCAACAGCAATTTTATCCTAAAATTGTGTTGTTGATTCAAAATTAATATTTTGAAATTTATAAAAAAGTTTAATGATTTGGAAATTTTATCAATATAGCAGAACATAACCTGAAATGTTCTAATTATAATTTTGTCATCTTCGATGCAACAAACGTTTTGTTGATATACAACAACAGTGGAAGCTAAACAGTTGAAAACTGATACCGGTTGTACGCTTAATTTTGCATTCGACTCATTAATTATTTCATATAAATGTATCTAAAACGTATAAAATAGATTTAAGATACATAAAAATGTTCAAATGTTTAATTGGAAATTTTAGTTATGATCAAAAATTAACTATCATTGAATAAGCCAGCATTTAACTTCCCATAAAATGAAACATTTGGCTCAGTGCTGAATGGTCGCACTTCAGCTTACTCAAGTCTCATGCTCAATTTCTGCAATTCTAATTTTGATAACGAAGAGGAGGTAAAGAGAAAGATAAAAAATAAGTAAGGTGCAAAATTAAGCTTAAATTTAAGCTATAAGAAATGTTTTTTAATTTTTCTACAAATTTACAAAAAACAATTGAACCTGTTGATTATCCCAAAGTGCCAGATGCTTTTCATCCACATGAAGTCCTTTTAAGATTATTGATATCTGTATATCGTGTTGTTCTATTGATTGCAAACATATCAGTGAAACTTTTTTTGAATTTGATTGTAGTACTGCTATCTGTATATAATAAAACAATGATTCCTTTTTTAAATCAAGGTTTTTTTTTTTGAAAATGCCACAAAAATTGCATAAGTTTTGCTAATTTTAATTTTTTGTGATCCATAATAGAATGTTCTAATTTGAGAAACTAGAAGCAAATGAAATCAAAGAGCTTAAGAAGAAGGATAATTTGATGTAAAACTATTGAAAAGGCCAAATTACAGTTTGCTATTATGAAAATAATTTAAAATAACTTGGAATCGCGCCATAACAAATGCATAATTTTAATAATTCCAGTAAAATTTTTAGTTCTGATACTAGTTTTTAAAAAAGATGCAATAAAAAAATCGTGAAGAATGAATAAATATATCCACTAACATTTTTATTCATATGTGAAAGAATTGGCTGTTCCTTTAATAATGTTACAGCAGTTCCTGTGGAAACAGCGAGGACACCAGAAATAGTTGACCAGCTGATCATTTTAATCTATAAAAATTACAAAAATTTTAAATATAAAAAAAATTTGCACATCAAAATTTGTTTAAATAATTTACTTTGGAATCAATATTAACTGCTTTCTGCAAAACCCATTGCTTATCAAATTTTTCTACATCTGTGTAATAATGTCGCCAATTAGCAATTTTACCAGCTGCGGTTCCACCTGATAAACAATCTAAAAATTGATTAAGATGTTTTAAAGTAACATAAGTCAAACTTCTTGTTAAATAAACAAATAGATAGATTCATATGGCAAAACTTTGACAGATTACAAATTCCATCATAATTAGGACTGAGATTATGGAAGATAAGAATAATCACCTTTGACATTTGAATATGACAAACAAGTAATAGTATCTGTGGCACTGAAACCTTTTGTTGTCTTTAGAAATAAAACTCCATTCTCGTCGTTCTTCAAATCCCAAATTCTATAATTACAGGAAATTTTTAAGTTTAAAATTTTTCATCGACAAAAATTTTGCCTGACAAAATTGCAATTTAATAAGGTATAAAAGAAAAGTAATCAAGAGAGAAATATATTTTATTAAGTTGATTCTTATTACTCTTCACTTTATTTATCGAAATGTTCTACTGGCTTGATTTGTAAATTTAAAGATGAATATATGGCAAAGTGTAGTCCAAAAAATTCAATTAAGCCGACACTTGACTTATATAAAACTAACTCGATGATTATTTACTTATTTGAACAAATACGTACTTTATTTGATTTTCACTGCTACACATAGCAAGCATATCAGTTTTCATCGTTATTATTTGCAAATCTGGTCCTTTTCCATTTACTTTAACCTAAAATTAGCTTTCAGAATATTAGAAAATTTATGTTACAGCTATAACCTTAAAGATTTAAAATATTGGTTTAATTCCAAAAGCAAATTTAATTCAAATTTTCTTTTAAATTTGACTTTAATATTCGTCAATGTAAATTTTATATTTCAACAAAATAGTTAATATTGAATACAGAAAAAAACATACACGCATTTTTTCTTCAACCTTGTAATCATCGATCAATATGAGTTGATGAAGAAACAATTCTTGGCTCAAAGCTAACAACAAAGTTTTCGTTTCAATGTAGAATAGCTGTACCACTGCACTATCCAACTAAATATTATTCATCTTGCTTTGGCTAATAAAATAAATAATCTAAGCAGTTTGTATTTTTATAACTAACAAAGCAAATGTTAAAATTTTTCAAACAATTTTCGAATTTAAACTTTGATTTTGAATTGCAATATACCCGATAAATTTCTCGAATTTTACCATTATGATAGAAAGCATGAATGCCACCATTTGCACTACCGATAAGAAAACATTCATTTGACTCCATCTTTTCCTAAATTTTTTTTTTGAGTTTTGCTTGTTTTCACCTTTTTTTTCCGCCAAACTTAAATTTTTTAATCCAGAAAAAGTTAGAATGAATTTTCTTGAAGCAGTTTATCAAGTTTAAATAACATAGATAATATAATACCTCAAGAAACTATTTTTCCTTCAGTTCTCCAATAAATTTGAAGCAATTTTTAAATTTAATAAAATCTCAAACTTTATTACATCATCCGTCGATGATATTTCAGTATGACGCTTTTTCCATTTCTCGTTGATTTCGGCATTCGTTTGTTTGCCGTCTTCATGTTCGGACGATTTGCTGCAAAATAAATATAATAATAATAATTATTATTATTGCTTAAGCAAATCTTATTGCCTAATGTTTTTGTTTATTAAAACTTTACAGCGCGGTGATACTTGCAAACTTTATTTAAATCTTATTTGAAATAATTTGTTATCAACCAGCTTATTTGCATTGAATTAGACTAAAATGGACGACTTAATAAAAAGTAACAAGAGCTTTTTTCAAAGACTAATATATAGTCCTATATAGCATAGATGCAAACCATTATTAGAACAAGTGTCACTAGAATAGATATCATGTATGAATAAGATCATTATGGAGCGAGTATCACGATCAAAACAGTTATGACTATCATAATAGTATCGCATTATTAAAATATGCTTCAGCAAATTCTCAAGATAAAAAAACCTTTTCGATATTTTTCGACAAATACAATTCGCCTCTTCATTGATTGTACCATTAACTATGATTTTCATTAACGACGTTCCTTTTTTGTTATCTTTTACAATTCTCCATAGAGCTATACTACCACTCTGTTTGAAATCATTAAAATTAAATCAAATTTCTTTTTGTTTCCAAAATTAATTTATACAATATGCTTCAAAGGCAAAACAAATACTTAAATTTGAAAACTTCATCAGCTAATTGCAGCCTTTCATCAAATTATTTCATACCTTTTCAATAATGCATATTTTCAGTTCAGTTACACTCCATAACATGCATTTTATCGTGCCATTTGATACATTTTTATTAGGAAGCGAAAAATCTGAATCATAATAATACTGCTGATAATGGTGATAATTTTATTACTAATAACGATATTGCTTAATAGCACTATTACTACCTACTTCATAAAAAAACACAAATAAACAAATGTATGTATCATCGTATTTTGTTACTCAATATTAATGAATTTGAGTTTTTGTTAAGAAATATTAAAATGCATACTACCACCAAAAATGATAAAAATACAATGTCTCATTATCAACAATGATGATAATATGATGTATTAAATGTAAATCATCAAATAATACCTTCATCATTTTGAACAAAACGAAACGTAACATCACCGGAATCCCAACTGATTGCAATAATATCAATTACAGGATGCCAGCACAGAAACATTATACGTGCGTTGGCTTTACGAATAGGCGAATGATCGCTTTTATTAGCCTGTACAAGAAATACATATACTCGTTAATATTAATAATAATACATAAAAAATATTAATGCAGTCTTAAACAGCTAATGATTAATTATATCAATGTATAAATATGTATTTCAATAAATTAGTTGTTAATTAGCACATGTATGTGCTAATTAATAATTCGTTTATTAAAGTATATGCTAATTGAATTTTGAATTTTCAAAAATTTTCCCAATGCTAAGTGTGAACTGTTATTATTCAGGATGAAATTTGCTCAAATATATTCGATTTTCCCCCCCCCCCACTCCCCGCTCTCCACAATTGCATATTTTTGCCCTAAATGTTTTTGTAACTGAATAGACGATGCTAGATTTTTTATTTCTACGGGGGATGAAATGAAAATTTCATTTTCTTATTGACAACTGTCGTAGCTTACTGTAGAAGGATAAACTGTTGTTATTACTGTTCATTATTCATCAATCTACGACGTTAAAAGAGTTAGATGGCAACAGTTTTCACTTAAATTCCACAATCTATCAATGCTTCAAACATTTTCATTTTTATATCCTTTTGATTACTTCAATCTTTTTATCTTCACCTCCTATCCATATAAATTAGCAATAAATTGAATCTTAGATTGGAGTATAAAAATTGATTTAAAGATAGTAAATACCAATGTCTGAGAGTTTAAATGACCATAAAATAGAAATTAATATAGTCCATAAAATATATACAAAAAAAAAAATTAAAACTAAATAAGCCTTCAAAAAATGTATCATTCAAGTTTATTAATTTAACTCTCAATCCTTATTCTCTTTTTTTCCTTACTTTCAATTATTAGAACAGTAAACTATTAGCATAATAAACATAATATTAACTACTACTTTTGGTCGCCTTAAATTTGCTTTTACATTTTTACTTAATAAATATTTACTTACTTGATGGGTGAAAAAGTTGATTTCACTTCCAACATTTGCACGATATGTTGTTAAGGCGAGTAATCCACTTGTCGGATGCCATTCCATTAATTCATGTTGTATTTCACCAATGCCATTATCATTACTACTAATGTCATTTTTTTCAGCATCAACTTTCTCTTCCACTAATATCGACATTACGCTTTAATTATTCGTCTCCTGTAGAAATAAAACAAACTCTCTTTTTTTTCTCCTTGATTTTCCAGATATTATAAATCATACAATAAGAAGAACGCTTCATTTTCTATCATCTGAACTATCAGATTTGTTAGTACAGAATTGTTAACTGTATGAAAATATTATCATTACTTTTACACATATGTATGTTATGAAATCATGAATATTCTTGATATTAATAATTTATGATGACAACTGATTTAAAAATGTTAAACTCTTGAATCTATTTTCTATTATTATTATTATTCTCTGAAAGATTTTTCTTGAATGCTTAAATTTCAAAGAGTTTATTTTATAGGATAGGAATCAGATAATTAAATTGTCTAAGCTAAATGGATTGCTTCAATAAGAAAACATTCACAAAGTTTTCTGGACTATAAATCACATAGCAATATTCAATTTTACTCCGAAGATTACTTCCTGAAGCATATGAAATAATTAATTAACTGATTACTTATTAAAAATCTGCAACGTTTTTTTTTTTTACAACAGCGCTTTATATCTAAAGAGATTATATATCTAAAGAATTGAAAAGAGTATTGCTATCTGAAAGGAATAAATATAGAAGGAAGCTTTAAAAAAATGGTAAAAGTTGAATTTTCTGGAGTTTAACTTATCTCAATTACCATAACACCTAATTGGATATTTGTCAAATGATATCTTTCAATCTATATCATATGACATTACCTCATGGTTGCTATGGTTACTGAGACTTATTTTATTTATAATCAATTAAAATTTTAACTAAAAAACATTGTAAACATATTTAAAATTGCCTTTTCAAAGCTTTAACTGATACAAAATAAATATTCGGATAATACTAACGAATTATAGAAGAATCGATTTTAATATAACATTAATTCAAGAATTGATACTTCATAATTGCATATGAAAAATGCGTTATTTCGAGATGCGCGATTGAGTTTGATTAATTTTGATGTGGATATGTTTGATGTTTGGATTTTGAGGAATTGAAGTGGTCTAAAATTCGGGGTATTAAAATATTTAAATATGCTAGATAAAAGGAAATTAATAGAAAGGCAGAGACGAAAAGAAAATAATTAAATAAGTGGAAGAACCTGCATTTAATCCCCTATTTCTATACGTGCGTTTCATAGCATTTTTGAGTTGAACTGATGCAAATAATAACTTGAATTTTTAGAAATTTTTAGGCAAGATTTATAAGCTTAAATTCAAATAATTTAATTTACAGACTTCTTTTCTGGATGTGCATGTTGAATTTGGTGAAGTCTGTAAGATGGTATTCCGGAAATTCAGGCCTCAAAAACAGTGGGGAAAGATGGATACACGGATATTTAAAAATATACTAGCAGCAAGGAATAAGCGGAAAATGCCACGGTTTGTAATTCCTCCGGTTGTACAGGTAAGCAGATTTTTTTCAACTGGCGTAAATTTTAAGCGATTATCTAACTTAATTCAAAATTTAATTAATTCTGCTGTTTTTTAAAGTACTCATATTTGTTCAGTAAGAGAAAAGACTGCTCTGTTTTCGACTAAATGAGATCATTTCTCTTGTGATTTTTTGGTTTTCTGGTAAATACGCATTTTTTTTATTAGTAAGTGACAATGAAAAAAAAACGCTAAATAATTCCAGATTTAAGTGAGCAATCTTTTTGTTAGTAATAATTTCTTTAAAGAAAGTGAAAAGGATTCCACTTTTGTTGGATGAGTAATTTAAAGGTTTAGACACAAGTGATATGATGTTATGCTTAATATTTTAACTTGAGTTAACAGAAACTTTTAAGAAAACATTGTGCAGGTTATCAAAATTCCAGGAAGCAGGATTCAAAATATATGATCCCAACCATCCGAACTTCTTTGCAACAGAAAAATTCTCAGTTGTTCATCATCCTGCCTACAAAATACCACAACTTCATGTAAGAATTTTCTCTTTCATTTCCAAATCTTTGATAAGATGAGCAAAAGCAGATATGGTTGTCGGAAAATTTAGGTTCTCGAATACTTTATAATAAATCAAATTGCGTAACATACATTTTAGGAACATCCGCTTTATAAATCTGTTGCGTGTTCACTTTTCGATGGTAGCGTAGCATTTACTGATGGAATCGACCAGGCTTGTTCTCTATCAAAAGCAGTCAAAAGGATTGGTTTTCCAGAAGCTGTTTTAAATTTGGTATAGTTGTAAATTCGATGGGTAGATTTGTAAATATTACTTAGACATTATTATGTTTTTTATAAACATTACAATCTAGCAGTAAGATTTGTAATCATATGTTTGATTACCAATCATATTGCTAAATTAAACAGTAGCAATATTATTGTGTTAATATTATTATGATTCAGATATATTTTAGTGTCAATATTATTATGACTCAGATATATTTAGTTTCATTGATTATTTTTAGGCTTCTAAAATACCATTACCTGAATGTTTCGAAGATCATCTAAATGATTGTATAATGCATGGAGAGCGATATGATCCAACATTGGAAAAATTGCCACGTCTTTTTGATCCTGTCATTTTTTGGACAAATTATTTTCCATGTCGTGTACACGGTACTCCGGTGTTAACAAGAGGGTGCGTTTGATTTTGGTGTGCAGTAAGAATATTTTAGGATTTTCCGTTTCTTAAAAATTTGAACAAATTGCTGGCTTACATTTTAGTCTGTCTGATGTCCATGTGACAGTACTATTCCAGCAATCATTCCTCGTTTGTTGTGGTACGATTTAAGAAAATTACCATAATATTTCAGGAAAATAATTTTGGATAATCTATTTCGTACTGCACATCTTATGGCTTTGCAAAACTCGCAGTTATTAAACCTTAGGTATGCTATGGTAACATTCAATAATTTGTCCTTAGTTCATGAACGTTCGCACAACAATAAGAAAAATAAATTTGCATTTACTGTTTATATCATCGGTGCGA